TGTTAGAAAGGTTAGTGCTACATGGGAAGTGATTCCATTTGCAATTTTGTGGACAATTCAGAATGTTAGGAACAAGCTTGTCTTCAAGGATAGTGTTAGAAAGGTTAGTGCTACATGGGAAGTGATTCCATTTGCAATTTTGTGGCCAATTCAGAATGTTAGGAACAAGCTTGTCTTCAAGGATACACAACCAAATTGGAATCTCATTCCAGAGCCTGTTAAAATGAGAGTGGCATTTTGGGTCAAGGACTAAGCAAAATTTAAGTATATCACCGTCCAAACTTCACGTTGCTTCTTTAAACATTTTATCCTGAAATACTTCTAATTCCTCACTTTTTAGATTTCACCATCTGTTTTTCAATTTTATACATTCTATAAAACAATATTTTTTCTACCTATCTTTAAGATGCTTCATTACAATTATTACTACATTTCTATGTCTATCTTTTCCAGTAGTATGGTAAATTTTATACACAAATTTCATTAACTTTTTCTTCTACATCATTATTACACTCTTACAATTTAGTTTCTTGTAAACATCCTATATTCTTTTCTTCTAATAATAATATTTACTAATTTCATAGTTTTACCTATTTGTGTTCGTATATTTGACATTGCTAATCTATACCTCCAATCCTAGACTAATTTTTTGAACCAAGCTAGTTTAGTAAAATACTAAGACCTTTGCCTTCTTGTTATTGCACTCGAGCGCTGACGCGGTGCCCCTTGTCCATTTTTTGAAACGCTTAAAGGAAGGAGCAATTCCTTACAAATAGGGCTACAAATGGATCGAGCTAAGCTTTGGGATGTTGGAGCTTGGCTTGTTGAAAATTTGTTGATCTCGAGTTCAAGCCTAGCTTCAGTGGAGCTTAAAAAATCGAACTCGAGCTCAACTCATCTAATATTTGCAAAACTCAAGCTCGGCTTGAGTTAACTCGATTATTTGAAAGAGCCGAGGTAAAGCTTGAGCTTTGAAAGAAAATTAAAACTTAAATTAACATGCAAATTTAGAGAATAAGAGAAAAATATGTGCAAAATGTAAGTAATGCTTATATTGCGATTAGTTTTATTTATCAAATATTTAAATATGCAAAAAATCCAAACATAAATACCAAAATAAATTAAATAAATGAAAATATATTATTAAAAATGAATATTAATTTATAAAACATTTGTGTTAATGAGCCTACACGAGGCAACCTTTGGTCTACTTGAGCTCAACTTGGTTAATAAATGAACTGAAAAATTTTGTTTGAACTCATTCATTTAGCAACCGAGCCATATTCAAAAGAGCTTTAAATGACCCAAGCTCGAGCTATTCATGAACTATTTGCTTCATTTGTAGCCCTACTTATAGGGAATGCCCTAGCACTTATTCACGTATTCATATTAAGCTTCATGCTAGTGAGGGATAAACAGGGATTTTCAAGCTACACAACCCTCTTTATCCAAACATGGGATAAAAATGAAACACTGAGCACGACACGTGGATTAATAAGTAGAGAAAGAACATTGATGAATATTCTTTTGCCTTTCATAGATAAGTTGTAAACATAAAACTACACAAATAAATTTATTTATCAAAAAAAAAAAAAAACCACCCAAATAAATAAAACCCACATAAGAATAGTTCCCAACCCAATATTTTTCTACTAACTTACCTTGTAAACCTTGAGATGGCTGATTCGACTTCATCCCCAGATGGAACGGAAAGTGGTATGCGGGAATTGGCTGGAATCTGAAAGTCAACCTCAGAAGAAGTTGAAGCTTCCATGGCTGTTTTAAAGATACAAAACCAAATATAATTAAGTTAAGAGGATGAAAATAATTGTTTTGGCTTACCTATGAATGAGGTAGAGCCTCACATTTATAATAAAACAATATTACAAAATAGGAAACGAACAAAATATGAAACGAAGATTAAAAAAGCATTAAATCTGTGATTGACATAATCATAGATTTTATACACACTACCACAATTACAATATCACTATTTCCTAATTCCAACACTACCATAATCAGTGTTTTTTAAGGCGAAAAGCGAACCGAGGCGACAAGGTCACCTAACGCCTAAGCGCGAGGCGACGAGGCGAGGCGAGGGCTTCATCGAAGCGAGGCGACCAGAAATGATATTTTTTAAAAATAAATGGTATAGACAAAAATATAAATATTTTCAAGAACCATCATGCAGTTATCATTCCAAATACTAAATATCCATAAACAAAAGAAAATATCCAACAAAGACAAATACAATCCACCAATCCAAAAGTTCTAAAAATCATCTTCAACATCAAGCAAATGAACTTCTTCTTCATTATCATTGGTTTCAGCATATCCCTCTGCATCTTCTTCCTCTCTCCCATCTGAAATTGACTCTTCCTCATCAATAAGTTGCAATCTAGGTCTACCTGCTGATTTTCAAGTTGAACAACCCCTTTCTATTGCCCTTGTTGATCTAGTTCTTTGACTACTTTCCTCAACTCCAGCAGCTCTAGCAACATCATCCCATGTCAAAGTATCATCCTCAAAGACAAGTTCCTTCTCCATCCTTCCAACCAACCACTCATTACTTTCATCAATATCCGTCAAGGCAATGGGATCAATAGTGTCACGGGAATTGTATCGACGTCTCAATGCTCTATTATACTTAACAAATACCAAATCATTCAGACGTTTTTGAGCAAACCTATTTCTCTTTTTGGTGTGAATCTGCAAAAATTCAAACCAAATAAAAATATTCAAATTTTTATCTAGGTATTAAATAAATTTATAGGTATTCATATTCACTATAGTTAAAAATAGGTACTCACATGTTCAAACACACTCCAATTCGGCTCACGTCCAGATGAGCTACAAGTTAGACTAAGAATTTTGATGGCGAATGTTTGCAAATTTGGCGTTTCAGATCCATATGCACTCCACCAATCAGCTGTTGATTATAACTAATTAATTAGAAAGAATATTTAAATTATAAAAAACTAACTAAAATTACTTAAGTATAAAATATAGATCACCTGGTGCCCTTGTAGTTCTTTGTCTAATGGCCAAAGCCATCCCAAAGAGACCATCAGATTTCTTATAGGTAGTCAACTCTGCGCAAACTTTATCTTGTGTCTCATTACTTGGGACCAACCTTTGTATGCATTTATATAGGCCTGACATGACTTCCTTATCTTTCTCAATATTCGGATTTGCGTAAAAATACTCTGGGTTTAAATAATACCCAGCTGCATGCAACGGCCTATGCAATTGAACATTCCATCTATTGTCAATTATTTCAAAAAACTCCTTGTACTTCTCTTCATTTCCATTAAATGATTTTGCAATCGCTTCTTTAGCCCTATCCATTGCCTCATAAATATATCCCATGGGAGGCTTTCTCTCACCATCAACCAATTGCAGTAGGCATTAATATGACTTGTGCGGTCTTTTTACCCTGTTGTTCCTTCGCCCATTTGCTTATGGTCCATTCCTCTGAAGTGAACATCTTCTTCAAGTTGGTTTGTTGTTGATGAATCCTTGATAAAGTTAGAAAAGCAGTTGCAAATCGAGTTTTTGCTGGCTTAATCAAATCCTTGCACTGGGTAAATTGCCTCATCACATTCAACAAACCAGAGCAGTTCACAATATAACCATGCACCGCAATTGCCTTTTCAAATGTCTTGTTGAAGTTAGGAATTTTGAAAATGTCCTCCAACATCAAGTCCAAGCAATGAGCTGCACATGGTGTCCAATACAAATGTAGCCGCTTTGCCTCCAAAAACTTCCCTATTACAAGTTTTTTTTTATGAAAAGGACAGTGTATCAGATACAGTATATGATTGTAGTGTATGAATGCTGTGAGCAGTAAATGATTGCAGTGTATGAATGCTCTGAGCAGTAAATGATTGCAGTATATGAATGCTGTGAGTAGTAAATGATTGCAGTATATGAATGTCGTGAGTAGTAAATGATTGTAGTATATGAAGTCCGTGAGTAGTATATGGGATGTAGTGTATCGGTGCCGTGAACGGTATATGAGTGCGGTGTATCAAATGCAGTATTGATAATGTAATGCATCAGATCAGTATGGAGCAGATTATAGAGGATTTTGGAACGGAGGTTAAAAGAACTTACTGGGATCCCATAAATGCTGAGCAGATCCAGGCTCATTTGCATCATCCCCATCAGAGAAGCTGACAGCTAGAGAGCCTGCTCGGTGTACTCTATGGATGCCTGTAAATGTGTTGAGATGATTAGTAATTCGCAATACGTAAACTGAAATGAATTGAATATGTGGAATGTAATGTATGGTACATACCGGGGTCGGGCCTCGTACTCCGACAAGCTCGTAGCTAGCTGGGGCAAGAGCGATGGGAATCTGATAAGTCTCTCCACCGCGTCACCGGTAGGTCACAGTAGTGGGCAGCTCCGGCCATCCTGCTCCTCGCCTTGCCCGGGAGCCTCTCCTGTCATGGGCCTGAGTCGCCTTAGATCTTCCGCTCGCTCTACTGCGGCTAGAGCTCTGTCCCTCCCACCTCTGCGAGTGCCGGTCAGAGGCGGCATGAGGTATGTCTGGATAAAGACAGTGTAGTCGCCGTGAAGCCTGAAGAGGTCGGCGTCCCAACCTATCGTGAAATTGGTCATCTCCTGCGGGGTGTACCTCTCTGTAATCCTTATGTACGTGTGAGGCGGCATCGGAACCACTGGCTCTGGTAAACCAAGGCTCTATTGCAGGAAGCGCTCCCCCAAGAACCACGCTCGATACACCGGGCCCTTAAGAAAAACCCGAAATCAAGACGTCTCCCAAGCACCGGCAAACTGATCTCTAACCCCAGTAGGCATCACTGCCCACGGCTGCCAGGTGATCTGCAAATAACGAATGTACAGGTTATTAGCTGCCATTAGAGATGCAATGTTAATCTGAAGAAGAATTGAAATGACTGAAAGGTTTGAACTACCTCTACTGCAGCTACAGTATCAAAATATCGGCAGAAGAATGAGAAAGACTCTCGGTCCTCCGCTAGCATCTCACGTCGTATCTGTGTGAATACGAGACCATGGGAGGTGTCTCCACCTCCGGCTCTGGGGCAAGCCTCGAGAAGTAAGCATATACCCATAGTTGTGGAATGTAATAGGGTAACAGTGAGTGTATGTCGAGCAAATGCAGATAAAGCAGGAATCAGATGATATGCAGTGCATTATGCAGTGTGAGCAGTGTACAAATGATGTAAAACAGTAGACAGTGTGTGCAATGTGCAGTGTACGAAGTACAGGTAATGTAAAGCGGAAATACAAAGTAGAAGGGCCACCTCCCAAGCCCTCCAATATCCTCCCAGTAGGTGCTCGCTCCGGTGGGAAGAGGAGCTCATGTATCCATTTAATGTGGCGAGGCCGGCGCCGCCCCAGTCATAGTAACGAACCTGGGACAAGTCCACCAAGGCGCTCAGAAGGTAGAGCCCGACGGTGTTCGCCAGGTCAGCGAAGAGAGTAGTGCCAAACAAGAACATGAGGAACCCCCGGGCGTAGTGCTCGGTCTCCTCGAGGGTCGTCGGTGTCTCTCCTCTAAAGTAGTCTGCAAACCATGAATACCGCACCATCCCTGGTCGGGACAGGGGTGGGTGAGTCCCCAGCAAGTAGATCTGACCAGCATCCCACTCGCCCATGTCGGTGTCGTAAGGAATCGGATGACCCCTAACCCCTATGCCGGTGAGCATAGAGAAGTCAAAGGGAGTCATCGTCATCTCCCCTGCTGTACAGAAATAGAAGGAATCTGTGGTATCCCACCCCCTCTCTACTAAAGCGCCTAGAAGAGGTCGGCTGGCAGTGAGACGTGATAGTCCCATGCAGAATGCGCCGAAACTAGCCTCATCGACGATATGACAGACGGCGTCGGGCAGCTCCATGTACCAGCCCCGTGCAGCAATAGTCCCGTAGCCTCAGAAGGCATTGGAATCTCCCTCTGAGTAAGGTAAACAAATGCAAGGCAGTGTAAGAAATGCAGTGCAAGGGTATGTTCAAGATAAACAGATGCAAGGCAGTATAAGAGAATATAGTGCACATGCGTGTTTGGGTTTGAATAGCTGAAGAGCAGTATGAATACGGTCTACATTGCTGAAAGTAGAGAGGAAGTGTATACCTCAAAGGCACTGTGGGATAAGTGTGACTCTGGCTCACATAGCAAGAGGTCCTCCAGTGCACCTCACGCAAACCCCTTGAACTGGCGAATGCCATCGAGAGGCAGCACATGTACCTCCGGATGGTACGTCGCAGGGTTGAACAGTCGAATGCTGAGCGGCAATGGCTCAAACTCGGGGTCCATCTCCATCCCCGGGGGAGCTTCGCCTTGTGGGATGTCGTCCGCCATCTCGAAGAAGGATGGGAAAATGGTCGAAAATGAGGAAAATGGGTAGAAAGGCCAAAAGTCAACAAAAAGTCAACTCCGTGGGTTGAAAAATGAAAGAAAATGTCAAGGCTTGGAAAAGGGGCACGAAAATCGAGGGTGACTCGGGAGAAACAAACCCCAAATGGTGGAAATCAAGAAAGAGACACCGAAAACACTTTTTGATCGGTTCAAAATGTTCAAAACTAAGAGGGTTTTGCGATTCAGACGTTTATGGAATGCTTGAAAATGCATAGAAAACGTGGGTTGGAAGGGGGAAATGGTCTAGAATGAGAGGGAAAGTGTTTTTCGGCCTTAAGAAAGTGAAGAAATAGGGTTTAGCACCCTATACTTAAAGGCCCGTGGCAAAATGGCAAAATTACCCTGAATCTGCCATTCATGGCCGATCGGCCAAATTTTTGGCCGACCGGCCAAGTTGTTGGCCGATGGACTTGTTTTGTGGCCGATTGGTGGCCGATGGCTCCCTCTGGTGGCTGATGGATCTCCAATGCTCTTCTTTGGGATTGTTTGGATGAATTGTGCCCTTATCTCCCAAGAAAGTTCAAGCAAATACACCTTTGAGCTCAAGTGGTGTTTATGGAAGCTCCGAACTGTATTTCCAGTGCGTGGCACTCAATACGAACAAAGTGTATCCTTTTTTGTATCCTTTTGTATACCGCAAGAGCGATGAATCACCTTGGAATATGTTGCGTCAATGCATTTTGTCATGTATGCGAGACTTACGTTGTTATGCAGATCACTCTTGCATTGAATGTGCACTTCTTGTTTGCATAGAATACACATACAGCATTGTGTCACATTGTACGGGCTCTTTCAACTCGCATAGAAGTTGTCCATACCAGTTGCATTCTCACCTTGCATAGAATATGCATCTCAATGTTGCATGGAGCATGCATTCGCCATGTTTGCATAGAATATGCATTTCTCGCATCCGTGTGGAACATGCATTTGGTATCATGCATCGAACATGCATTGTATTGCATTGTACCTGTAAAGTTTCTTTCTTATGCAGGCACGATATTTTATGTATGGTTCATTTGAAGTTGGTGCAACCAGGTGATATTGGATGTGCGGTTTATTCAGAGAAGTTCCTTTTAAGATTGTTCATCTTTGTGTATCTATCGCACATGTTCATCTTTGTGTATCTATCACACATGTTCATCTTTGTGTATCTATCGCACATGTTCAACTTTGTGTGTCTATCGCACATGTTCAACTTTGTGTGTCTATCGCACATGTTCACTTTGTGTATCTATCACACAAGTTCATCTTTGTGTATCTATCGCACATGTTCATTTTGTGTATCTAGCACACATGTTCATCTTTGTGTATCTATCGCACATGTTCACTTTGTGCATCCATCGCACGTCTTCACTCTGTGTATCTATCGCATTTAACCTCATATGCCTTGGGCGTTGTTGTTCTTTCTCCTCGCGCGCGCGGCAGGTTAGACCTTCTTTGGTTAAGAGCATTTGGCATATGTTCCAACGCTTATACCACTCATTTTCCTTTCGCGTGCAACACGTCAGAATCTCGTCTGAGACTTCGGGTATTCCCGGTAGTCGCTTTTAGCCTTTCTCGCGTGAGGCGTAGTTAAGCTTGCATATTTTTCTTACATCATTTCTGCATGAACTGTAGTTCGGTTTGTAGCTCCCACGCGTAGCGTGTTTGCTTACGAGTTTGCTGTAGCATTTCTTTGCATAACATTTGCATCTAGATGTTTCATTACAGCCCTCTTTGCATAATCATGAGTTATGTTCTGCATTGTGCATGTCACTTGCATTGTGCCACTGCCTGTGGGCGCATCTATTTTGTTATCTTGTCTGTTTGTCTAAGTCTTCAGCCTTGTCAAAAACGGGTCGTCTCTGGGCTTTGACATTCACTCCCGTCATTTCATGACTTTCGAGTTCTATCAAAGAGGGGCAACTGTAGACACCCTATTTTTGATCGCCCTCAAGACTTGGAT